ACGAGTAAAATCTAGGAGCTTTCTCGTTCGGATCAAAAAATAATCATAGAGAAAGAAAAAAACGAATTAATGGGTCACATATATGCGTTAGAGCATCATTATAGGTAGTTTCTTAGAGATAAATCTTAGTAATATTTAAATAATTTATTTGTAAAACTGATTGTTAAAAGATAGTATTTTTGAGTTAAGATTTTTGTGTGATTAATGATAGGCTCTTAACATGTGGTTCTTAGAAAAAAAATATATTAATATAAAAATAAAATTTATAATTATAGAAAATTTAATAATTGTTGCAAATTAAAAAAATTAAAACATACATGAGATACAATTTATAACATAAATCACAAATATTTTAAACTTAATTTCTTCTATATTTTGTCCATATATGCTCGACCAAATCATTCTTCAATTGTTGATGCATACCTTGATCACGAACTCGAGCTCTATTATCGAAGAAATTAGAAGGCGTATCTGTAGAATATGTGAAATCCGCCCAATCAAAACGTGACACGTGGCACATCTTAAGTATTAAAGTGATTTAAATTAAATAGTTAATACCTTAATAAGTTAAAGAACGTTCCTTAGCATTCTTAGCTTATTAAGGTATTAACTATTTAATTTAAATCACTTTAATACCTAAGATTCAGCTAACATCTCCCCTATAATGATGCTCTTATACTATTACCAATACAATATTAGCAAATGTATACATTAATTTTTTTTTATAACCATCCACAAGTCACACAATTCTTGCTTTGACAAGCTTTCTTATCCTCATTCACATGCATTTCCTCCCTTTGTCCATCTCTCTCTTAGCGTTGACTTTTGATAACCCCAAGATGCTTCAATTTACATTGTCTTATATCAAATGGCTGACCAAACCTCTCCATTATTTCTCTTATTCCTCTTCCAAAACTCATTAAACAAACTCCATCAAACCGCAACCGCCATGAACACCTTCCAACCACCGCCACCGCCGGAGATGCCGGACTACAACGGCCTCCTCGGCACAGACGACATCGGAGGATTTCGATACGGAATCGGAGTCTCCATCGGAGTGCTCCTCCTCATCACCACCATCACCCTCACCTCCTACTATTGCACACGTAACCAGCTCTCTTCTTCACCTTCACAAACCAGTCAAGATTTGACACGTATCCATCATCATCACCACCATGTCATCATCGACGTTGTCCCCGGTCTTGACGAAGACACCATTCAAAGCTATCCTAAGATCCTCTACTCGGAAGCAAAGGGACCAACAACGGCGTCGTGTTGTGCCATTTGTTTAGGAGACTACAAGGGAAAACATCTGCTGCGGCAGCTACCAGATTGCAACCATCTCTTCCACCTTAAATGTATTGACACGTGGCTTAGACTCAATCCTACGTGTCCTGTCTGTCGGACTTCGCCGCTTCCAACTCCTCTGTCCACTCCCCTCGCCGAGGTTGTCCCCTTAGCCTCCTCCGTCGCCGCCACAAGGATGTCCTAATTTTTTTGTTTATTTTATAACCGAAGAAAGCCTCAATCTAACTAATCTCCGGCTTAAACCATTTATCATATTCTTCTTTAATTCCTTGTAAATTTATTTATTTTGGTCACTAACTGATCACTGTATATATTCTTCGAAGCCGACTATTTGTAAGAGGAAGGAGGTTAAGGACACAATTTTGTTGGATTAGTTTTTCTTTTAGCAATGTGAACGAGTTTATCTATACATACGTATCAAGAGAGAATAAATATGAATATAGTCGGTCGAGAGAGAGGCTTGAAATATGTTTCGTGTCTTGTATTGAACTTTGACAGATCATTTGAATATTGAGACGTCAAAGAAAAAGAAAGAGTTCGAGGACAAGTTGGCACTTAAAATAATAGATCAGTCGAATCAATTAGGCGTTTGATCATCAGCCTGACAATCTTTCTCAATTGGTTTATTAAAAAGTATATATGTAGCAATCTTTTTTGTCCGTATTATACAAACTACATAATTAAACAAACAAATTAAAGCAGATATTTAACAGTGTATTTGTCTTATTTGGTAATACCGTTAGCCAATATCTATGATTATGGTGATATGAGAAAAAAGACTTTTATGAAGACGTAAAAAAGATATCAACCGAGATTGATCAAGAGATATGAAATAAAATAAAAAACACGATTTTTGTGTCTCCAATTCCCAGCTGGCTGAAATTAAGTAGGTGAGGATGATAAAAATGAGTCGACCATGATAAAACTACCCTTATCTTATTTAAAGTATTCGACAAAAAAAAAATATTACACCAAATTCATTTTACAAACATTATTATCTCTTCAAAGTGATATGGTCTCTCGGCTATGTATTCCTTTCATAACAAGAAAAACCGACGTCTTTCAAACCATCGGCAACGTTGAAGCAATGAATCTGATTAAGTAAGACTTCCTCAGTCACTTTTGTGTAATGGTGTATGCCATTTGATATTCTATACTCTGCTTTGCTTTGATATAGTAATATCATACTCTGTTTCTTCAATAAATAATCAAAATTTTCGTGGAAAAAAACAAAAAGAATTCCAAAAATGATTGTAAGTATTTCTCAAAATCTTTAGTTGCAACCAGTGTTCAAGAAAGCGCTAGGCGCTAAGCGGGCGGTGACCCAGTGCCTAGCGCCTAGAACGCTTAATCGGGGCCTAGGCGATTTTTTAGGCGGTTTAGACGTTTATAACATAAAAAAATTATAAATATAATATTATATATAAAAGTTATATAAAATATCTATATAAAACTAAAAATTATGAAATTATAAACAAAAACTAGATAAAACATTTATTTATATTTATATTAAAAAATATATGAATATTTATAACTATATATATAAATAAATCTCTAATTGAAATTAAAAAAATACATTAAACAAGATCTATGTGATTTTAGGCGGTCAAGACGGTAATCTAGGCGTCGCATGAGAGCCTAGCGCCTAGTCGGGACTTAGGCGACTGCCTAGACCGCTTTTTATAACACTGGTTGCAACTTTATCTACTAAGAAATGTCTAAAAAAAGAAATACAAGGTAACAAAATTAAACAAGATGAGTGGATCTTAACGCGAATAAAATAAATCAAACCATTTGACTCACACGTTAAATATCTCTATTAACCAACGGAAAAAGTTATGCATTAGAAAATTATAAAATCCACACTAAATATCTAATCGAAATAGGCTTGGTCATTCGGTTTTCCGGTTCAGATTGAGAAATTTGACTACTTTAGTTTGGTTCGATTTGGTTCGGAATTTTTGCCGACCCTTGAAGAAAAAGAAAATCCTCACGCGCCGGTAAGTCGGTTTCACGAACAAAGAGGCTGACTATAAAAATCACATTGGAAGCTTCGAGTTTTTCCTGAGGAAGAATCCACACACAAAGAAGAATCGAGTCTCATCACGAATTTTAGCTATGGGTTGGGTCTGGATTGACGATTCATCCGCTTCTAAAGCCGGTACTGATCTCACCGATAAACCGCTCGGAGATTCCTCCGCCGCCGCCGGAAATTGCTCCACCACCACGGTGGTAAGATCGCAGTGCAAGACGGAGGAGGTTGAGCCTGGAAAGTTCGTCAGGAAATGTGACAAAACAGAGGAGATCCTCCGCCACTGTTTTGGGAAGTGAGTGTTTAGGTTCCTTTCTCGCTTTGATCATAACCCTAATTAAGCAAAATATAAGTGTTTAGATTTTTGATTTACATGTGGAAATGAAATTTCTAGGGTTTATAGAACAAATAGATAAAAGTTTCTCGAGGATGAGTGTGTTGGTTGTTTTTGGGCTCTGAGTTAAATTGAAGTTTCGTTGGTTATGTAAAAGCTAAAGCCAATAGTTCAAGATTGACTCTTGAATTGCAGGTATATAGTAGTATTTATGCACTGGCATGGTTACATTTGCTTAGTTCTCGTGGTTCGATGTTGTTTTTTTTCGAAAAGACCCTCTATCACTGAAACATTATGGTACAAATGTTTCATTATAAAAGCAGCCTGTAGCTAAGTTGCCATGATTTCTGTAAAATTCTTTTGATTTTATCATCTTTGTAGTTTTGTAACTTGCAGCTAGCTTCTTTTTTGTTTGTTTGTCGCTTGCTGCCTTTGATACGAGTTATTCCATGTTAAATGTGATGCTTTCCTTTGGGGGACAACTACTTTGAGTTCCTACCATTACATGTCTTGTTTTCTTTCTTGCTTTTTGTGTGATTTTGAGATTGCACGTTGATTGTTTGTACCTTTCACTTCTCTATACAATCACTAAATTGATTTCCCCTTTGTTCTGTATCTGGTTCAGGCCCTCTGAAGTTGTTCAATCCAACACAGAGCACACAGAAGAAGATGTGACAGACCAGATGGTAGGGAGATCCGCTCTTCCGAATCAGTTTGAGGAAAGAAACCCGCTAAACTTCCCTGGACTCCGCAGAGATGTAGACGCCATCGAACGCCATTTCTTGAGCGGAATGAAGAGTTTCTTTGATGCAGCTGAAGAGATGACAAGCAGCTTATTTGATGTCATGGGAGACCATCACCCAAGCACCAGGAGAGGAGGGATACCCATTGAAAACCATCCCAAGATAGAGGAGCACCGCAATGACAAAACTGCCCCTACACGACCACACTCCTCGGGAGAGATTGATCTCTCGGGCTTGGCCAAGGACGTTTGAGAAAGGTCGTGTACTTCTTCTTGTTCTAGCTTTGGCATATATAATCTTAAAAATGTAATATGACTTTCTAAGAAGCGTGAGGATTGTAGTCTAATGTTAGCGGTTTGCACGTTTTTCCGAGTGGGTACTATCTAATCTATCAATATCGTACTATATTAGTACTATGGTGTTATGTCTGTGTCTTTTTTTAATCATACCAACCGAAAATATATTTATCATCTTATCACTTTGTCCCAAAAGTTCTTTTACATTTATATATATAATTCGGACGTTCCATTAAATGGTAATAGTCTAACAGAATAATAATGGTCAAAGTAGAGTTATTGAGTGAAATTAAAGATTAAAAATCCAACCTTACGTTTTTTGAAAGATTGGTTACCATTTTGTGGCATGGAGTAATTTAGAAAAAACAAGAAATATACATTTTTGGTCTTCGATTGAGTTGAAGAATTTTCTTAACAATTACGGAGTTTGAAGGGACCGAACAGTTAATCAATGTATCCACACAGACACTTAAATAATCTTTAACACAACCTCACAGAGTCATATGTTAGATTTTGGTTAGAGGAGAGAATCAAACAAGTTAATTTAATGGAGAAAAGCCAAAAACCCTAATAAATCCCCCAAAAAATTCAGTCACGACGTGAGACCCAATTCCTTTTCGTCAAATCATCTTTTCCTTTTCAATTCCCATTTTCTTATTCTTCGTTTTCCATTTTGTGTATTGTGTGTGTTTCTTACGAAATGAGATGATTCGTAGAATTTTGTGATAATTGATTAAATAAATTATTCAGCCGACCTCGAGATCTTTCTCCCTTAGATCAGAATTCATCTTTGGGAGATTTATCTGTCTCCCTTCATGGAAGTGGTTATGGTGTTAGATAGGAGAGATCTTTGTCTCTATGAGATCAGGTTAAGGGTTTTTTGATCTCTTGCGTGAAAAGAAAGAAAAAAAAAAAAAGAAAAGGGAATTTCCTCTCTATCTTTTTGCGTTTCTCGTGTAGATTATTGTATAGCATAAAGTTGTTTGGGATTTAGATTGTAGAAATGGGGAATGTATGTGTTCATATGGTCAACAATTGTGTGGATACGAAATCAAATTCATGGGTTCGTCCCACAGATCTCATCATGGATCATCCCTTGAAGCCACAACTCCAAGACAAGCCTCCTCGGCCAATGCTAATGTACAAGGATGATGATAAACCCAAGCTTAATGAAACTCATGGAGACCCTAAATTACTTGAAGAGAAGGCAAAACCTGCGCAGAAGCAAACGAGTTGGGAACAAGAAGGAAGGGTGAGTGAAACAACAAGGAAGTGCAGTGAAGAAGAGAATAAGAAGCGTGCGATTGCGTGTGGTAACAGCAAAAGAAAAGCTCACAACGTAAGGAGACTGATGAGTGCAGGGCTTCAAGCAGAGTCAGTATTGAAGACCAAGACGGGGCATTTGAAAGAGTATTATAACTTGGGAAGCAAGTTAGGTCATGGACAGTTTGGGACGACGTTCGTGTGTGTTGAGAAAGGAACAGGGGAGGAATACGCGTGCAAGTCTATACCGAAGAGGAAGCTAGAGAACGAAGAAGACGTGGAGGATGTAAGAAGAGAGATTGAGATAATGAAACATCTCTTGGGGCAACCAAATGTGATCTCCATCAAAGGAGCTTATGAGGACTCAGTGGCTGTTCACATGGTGATGGAGCTGTGTAGAGGAGGTGAGCTGTTTGATAGAATAGTGGAGAGAGGGCATTACTCTGAGAGAAAAGCTGCTCATTTGGCTAAGGTCATACTTGGTGTGGTCCAGACTTGTCATTCTTTAGGTGTGATGCATAGAGATCTTAAACCTGAGAACTTTCTCTTTGTCAACGATCACGAGGATTCGCCTCTTAAGGCTATTGATTTTGGGTTATCTATGTTCGTCAAGCCTGGTATGTTTCTTACAAAACAGAGTTTTTTAATTCTCATATGTAGATAAATGTTTGTTCCTGAAATGTATACATTGTTATTTTCAGGAGAAAACTTTACGGATGTGGTTGGAAGTCCCTACTACATTGCGCCTGAAGTTCTCAACAAGAATTACGGTCCAGAAGCAGATATTTGGAGCGCCGGTGTTGTGATTTATGTGCTACTGTCTGGTTCAGCTCCATTTTGGGGAGGTCAGATTGTTGTTACTTTGATCACAAACTATATATGTTTTTGGAGGTGTTCTCATGTGTGTTTGTTGCTTCAAGCAGAGACGGAAGAAGAAATCTTCAATGAGGTTCTGGACGGTGAGCTTGATTTGTCATCAGATCCTTGGCCACAAGTTTCTGAAAGCGCAAAAGATTTGATCAGAAAGATGCTCGAACGAAATCCCAAACAAAGACTCACTGCTCAACAAGTCTTGTGTAAGTCCCTAGAATCATGAAACTCCATAGTTTACTTTAAGCAGATAGAAAACTTAAAAAGTCTTTTTTTCTTTTTTCAGGCCATCCATGGATTAGGGATGAAGGAACTGCACCAGATACACCGCTTGACACGACTGTTTTGAGTCGCTTGAAGAAGTTTTCAGCTACAGACAAGCTCAAGAAGATGGCTTTAAGGGTACCACAAATAAGAAAGAAGCTTTTGTGTTTTTCTTATAGATTGTTGTGATGAGAGAATCTCTGATTCTTAGTGTTTTACTTTCAGGTGATTGCAGAAAGGCTTTCCGAACAAGAGATTCACGAGCTTAGAGAAACCTTCAAGATTATAGACAGTGAAAAGAGCGGGCGAGTAACTTATAAAGAACTCAAAAGTGGTCTTGAAAGATTTAACACAAATCTTGACGACTCTGACATCAATAGTCTTATGCAAATGCCAGTAAGCAGACACTAGTACTTTCTCAATATATATGGATTTAGTGATCAGATTATAAAGTTTGATTCATAGTTTTTCTTACATATTGGGATCATTTTTAGACGGATGTGCACTTGGAAGACACAGTAGACTACGAGGAATTCATAGAGGCGATTGTAAGACTGAGACAAATACAAGAAGAGGAACCAAAGGATCGTTTAGAATCATCAACAAAAGTGTAATGAAGTTGGCGTGAAAGAAGATATTGTTGTTGTCTGAAGAAGTGTAATGAGTACTCAAAACTGATGATGACGAATGTAAGTAAATGTGATGCATTCACTGATCACTTTTAGTCTCTTAGAGCTGTTGTTATAAATGTCTCATAATGATAAGATCTATAGTGTATTTCAATATTTCAAAAACATAATCTCTATATAATCTTTATATTTTCATACTGTAGACTGTAGGAAACTACAAAAACAGCTGCAACAAATGAATATAAGAGAGGAGGCAGAACAAGGAGAAGATGGACACAAAAAAGGCCACAAGAAAGTAAGTTGATGGATAGAGAAAGTCAAATGATTTTGATGTGTAGGTCGTTTTTTTTTGTTTATCATGTTTTAGAGCGAAAAAAAAAAAATGAAAGCTGTGTTTTGTTGTATATAGAAGTTGTAGTAGAAAGGATAAGGAGACACACTTAAACTCAGGTGATGTTGATGCTTTCAAATTTCAATACTTTGCTGCCTTTGTGCCTTGACCTTGAGAGGGTCATATTAGGAATAAGAAGAATGATTATGTACCCAGAAAGAAACTTAATTTAGAAACCAATATATCTCAAAACAACCTCTATAGTAAAATGTTTGGACGAATCCTGAATGATTGCAACGTGTTAGTTAGTAATAACATATACATATTCACATTGGCAAGCATAAAAAACTTGGAAAGATGAGTCCAAAAAGATCTGACGGTGGAGAATTCAGACACAACAAAACCTACGTGGAAGGAACAGTATTTTGCTGGTCAAGACAGCTCACGCGCGGTTGGCGGCGAAAACGGAGGGGCCCAGACGTGAAAACCAATCATGTGGAACGGTCGTGACACGTCAGCAATAACGGACGAAGAAGTGGGGTCTACAAACGGCGGGTATGTCGTGGGGCTTAAATGGTTCGCTGTAACGGAGACCCTCCCCTCTCTCTTCTTCTCTCCCACGTTCTCCAAACACTCTTCCCTCAATCATTTGCTCTCTATTTACCATTCTACCCCTCTCTCACTCACTCTTTTGACCACATTATTGACCTTTTTTTTTATGGAATCTTTTGATTATTGTTGTTGATTGCAATTTGCAACATAAATCAGCACCTAACCAGTGGGAATTTAGACTTTTAGTATCTTGAGAATCTGTGATTATAGGGTGGGAAATCTACTAATTAGCTGTCTTATAATTTTAATTTAATCAGTGCTAACAAAACAAGAGGGGCGTTTCCGTAATTTGGTAGCATTTTTGTCTACATCTTCTCTCCTTTGACGATGAAAAAGCCCATCTTTTCCTTTGCTCTCTCATTCCCACACAGAGACTCGTCGCTCTTCGCTTTTTCTTCTCTCTTTCTTTTTTAGCCAGTAGTGATCTTACGAAGCTTTCTTTAGTAGAGAGAAAAGCATATACGCTTTGTTGTCTTTCTTAATCCGACTGATAAGGTACTTTTTGTGGAATTTTGCTTTTCTTCATTCACTTTGTCTTAATTTCTTCTTCTCTTGTTTCAGATTTAGATTTTGACTCGTGGGTTTGCTTTAGTTTGTCTATAGGAACAAAGTTTTGGTTCTATCTGTTTTCAAAATCAGAGCTTTCCAATTTTGAAGTTTCAGGTTAAACATGGTCTGTTTTTATGAATATGGTGATAGTTGGTGATCGTAATAATAGCGTTTTGTTGCAAATAATAATACAAGTGAATTTTATGATTTTACCGCTTAAAACAAGCTTTAGATTCGGTGTGATGTGTATGCTTTAACCAATTATCAAGTGCAGGCAAAGAGTTTTGAGTGTTAGAAAGATTATTGATTTCAATGATTGTTGACATTAGCATTGTTATGTTACAATGTTTAGTCCTTAGGATCAGATGGAACAATGGGTGGCTCCTCAAAACAAGAAGGTCCATCTTTAGTTTGATTGAGGGATTTGGATCTGACTGAACTGAGTTCATCAACTTTGTCGGATATACATTTGCTTTGTGTGAATTTGGATTTCTTGCCCTGAATGGCGTCCGAGGATTTGAGTGTTGTTGCGGAATCAAAGAAAGAGGAAGAGAATGTTATTGTTGATAATTCCAAGGACATGACTAGACCTGAGAATCTTGACTTATCTACCGAGAAAACTGATAATGTCAATGAGAATGTTCCAAAAGATGAAGCTTCTACGCTGCTAAAGGTATCATGCTTCATACAAGACTCGCGTTTTTTGAACCGTGTTTTTGTTAGTCTTAACATTCTCTCTTCTCTGTCATTCTCTGCAGGAAGCAGACCTCCCTGAGTCTGGTACTTCAGTGAAGAGTAAAACAGCTAAGGATAGTAAACCTGTTAAGAGAAAGTCAGGGACCTTTTCTCGCAGCCCGAGATTCATGTCTCAGAGCTCTTCATTTCCAACCAAAGGAGCTTATACTGATATTACTAGAAAGAGTATTGATGCAACAACATCAAAGACTAGTCTTAAACCCGTCGTTGCAGGTGGATCCAAACCAAAAGCCACTCCATCTTATAGCAGCGGTGTTTCCACTAAGCGCACCGGTGTAGTATCTGCCCCCCTCAAAAAGCAAACTTTGGTAACTACTGAATCTGTTTTGTTAGTTCTTTGAAGCTTTCTTGTTCGCAACTTAACAATCTCCTTTGTGCTGTGTCAGCCGGTGAAACCCATTTCTAGGGATTCAGCGTCAGGCCCTACTTCCAAGTGAGTCAAAATATGTTTCATTTCAAATATGTAACTGTGGAATGATATAAGCCAACTAAGAAACTATGCGAATGTGATGATCTGAATAGTCAATTGAACTTTTCTCCCGCGACATTTGCAGATTAGGAGATGAAGGTTCTAAATCCATTAAAGAAGAAACGGCGGGGAAAGACATTGAGGAAACCGGTTCAACCACCGCTGTGTAAGTTCTTTCTTTACCTTGTTTTTGGCATACATGTTTCTGTTAGTTTTAAATGTGGAAATGTTGCAGCAGATAAGTAAAACATATGTAAAAGTGTATGCATCTGTAATTTTACAGGGTGGCAGATAAAGTATCTAAACCGATGAAAGTTGAAATGGCAAACAAGGAAGATGAGGACACACGTTCAACTACCACTTCGTATGTATTTTCTTCATGTTCTTCCCATGTTCATTAATGACATAATTTATGTATCTCTATAAATAATGTTTTGGATGTTTACCAGAACTTCTACACCTCGTGGGCGGAGAAGCAGTGTTGGGTCGGCATCTGGATTTTCGTTCAGGTTGGAGGAACGGGCTGAAAAAAGAAAAGAGGTACTGCTAATACTCATTCTCTATGCTTACGACATTTTCATACTTTTTTCAAGAAGGTTCTTGTTTCCTCCTAATTTGCGTCTCCTTTTTGGGGTTTACCTTTCAGTTTTATATGAAACTGGAAGAGAAGATCCATGCAAAGGAAGTAGAGAAGACGAATTTGCAGGCGAAATCAAAGGTTAGCTTTGTAAGACTCTTCTATAATAATAGAAGAAAACTCTTATTGGTCTGTGACATTTTTTATTTTTTGGTTAAATGGATTGTGTTTGTTTAGGAGAGTCAGGAAGAAGAGATCAAAAGGTTGAGGAAGAGCTTGACGTTCAAGGCTGGTCCCATGCCCAGCTTCTACAAAGAGCCTCCCCCTAAGGTTGAATTAAAGAAGGTTTGCTTCTATGCTCTTCCTATGTGATCAAACTTATCCTAAAGAGTTGTTGGTATATCGATGTATGGTCCATGAAAATGTTGCAGATACCAACTACTCGTCCTAAATCTCCAAAGTTAGGACGCAGAAAGAGTAGTAGCGACGCAACAGGAGGTGAAGCGGCTCCTCGTGTGACGAAACCAAAAGACTCATCATCATCTACACTGAAGAAACCCATAACAAAGTCTCAGCCAAAGCTTGAAACTCAAGAGAAGTCAGTGAAGGCGAAAGAAAAGAAAAAGGAAGTGAAGAAAGAAGAAGTAGAGAAGAGAGGAGAGGAAGAGAAGGCTTCTCCTGCTGTGGCTGCGAAAGCTGGAGAGATGAAACCGAACTCCAACAACATCCAAGTGAAGGCTGAGATAATGGCAAGTGAGGTTGCAGTGGGGGGCTGATCTGAGCAAAGTGAGCATTTAGCAGCGATATCTAATGTCTGCTTCTTCTTTTTTTCTTTCTTAAAGCATTAATGTGAATAGAGTTGTTGCATTGCGTCTACTTTTTCAAGAGTTTACTTCATTCCTTCAGTTTATTTTTTGGAAAATTAAAGCCTCAATTGCTTCTTAAGATGGTCTCTAATGTGTTGAGCTCAAAAATGTAAACTTATACATATATTATGAGGATGGAAATATGTGTGAATTGTGAAGAGTAAAACAGTGATGATCGTGCAAATATTAATGTCAAAGACTCAAAGGAGGGGCTGGTAGTGGTAGGGTCTTTATATCTTTGAGGGGCATTCCGTATTTGGAACGTTTTTGTGGTGAATATGAATGAGATCATGCTTTAAAATTATGAATAGGCCTGGACATTTGGTTAACCATTCGGTTTCGGTTCGGTTGCGTTCGGTTTCGGTTAGTTTGGATATGGTAATTAGGCCTGAGATTTATATCCGTTATCCGTATCCGGTTTTTGATCCGAAAAAACGGATATCCGGCAAAACGGATACGGATACGGATAGTAAAATGACGGATATTCCGGATACGGATACGGATACGGATAATCCAAAAATTTAGGCCGGATAACAGATATCCGGCAAAAAAAAAAAAAAAAAAAAACCTTAAATGCCTTATGAGTCCATTTTTTAAGTGTTAAAGCCCCAAAAAGTTTGGAAGGCCAAGTTTTTTATTTATTTTATTTTATTTTTAATGTTAATAAATAAATCATATGACAAAAAATAAAAAAAAAATTTTAAGAAGGATTTAAGAAGTTGATTAGGGTCTTATCTTTTAAGAACATCACTTAAATCTTTTAAACTTTTTGCTACTTTAATAAATTCTTTGTTTTTGTAATGTTTTGTATATATAATCAACTTCTACCTATTTTGTGAATTTTTTAAGCTTTTTAAGTATGATATTAATGAATTTAGGTTTTAAAAATACTATTTCCGGTTTGTCCAAAAAAAAAAAACACTATTTCCGGATATTCGCGGATATCCGGATTTTTAACGAATATCCGAATACCGGATATCCGGAATTCCGGATCCGGATACGGATATTAAATTGGCGGATAATGCGGATACGGATACGAATATGGATATCTTAAAAAAACCGGATATCCGCTCCGTTTACAGCCCTAATGGTAATATAATAACCATTCGGATATTTTAGGAATTTCGGTTCGGTTTGGTTTGGTTATCTTTCGGTTCGGTTCGGTTTGGATATTTAAATTGATAACCGTAATTAACTAAACTTTTAACACGTTCGGTTTGGTTCGAGTTTTTACTCAACATAACCAAAATTTACCAAAACTAACCGAAAAAATACAAAAAAAAATACAAAAAAGAAAATTATTAGAAAGAAAATTAAAATTTGATTCAATTTTTTAAAAGAGTATTTAACTTTGACAAATATAACAAACAATATTATGATATTTTGATTATTTAAAATATTTGATTGTTTTGATTCTAAAAATAATTAATATTTTGAGTTTATAATTATAATTTTGGATATTATTTTTGGGTATCTTATATGTTTTTGGATATTTCGGTTAACCATTTGGGTATCGGTTCGGTTCGGTTCGGTTTCGGTTTTGGATATGGGATTTTACTAACCATTCGGTTATTTTAAAAACTTCGGTTCGGATATGGTTCGGGTTTTTTCGGTTTGGTTCGGTCGGTTATTTGGTTAGCAGTTTTTTTGCCCAGACCTATCTATGAACTACATTTCACAAACTTGAATCTGAACACAAAAAAAAAAAAGAAGAAATAATTTAGGATTAGTTTCGATTAACTTTTTGATAGATTTTGAGTTAAATTGATCGTTTTGGACTAGAATCACGAACTGTATAAAGTGTACTGATGCTTATCTTGACTAAATAAAATGGATAATTCGGATAGGTCCCGACCCAAAATGCATAGAGAGATGCTCACTCCTAAGATTTTCATTCTTCACATACCATACCATAATGATGCAAGATTTTATGTTAAGTGACTTCTTATTATTCACAATTCTTATTTCTTACAATGCACTATTACATGTACGTAAATATTTAAAAAAAAAAAAAACTCATTATAACGTTTGACTTTGACTATAGAAGCTTATCAGTGAAAGGTATCTACAATAACTAACCACAGAAGACTACAAAATTAGGTGGACGAATTGATCACTATTTCTACAGTAAAAGAGCAGATAAAGTTACTTTATTATCCTTACACACCTTTCTCATCTTCTTTTCTCTCTCTTCATTGCTCAACTCATGAGAAATAAACGGTGTCGAGAAGGAAATGGAAACAACGACGATAAAGATGATTGTATATGGCTAAGTTTTCTGGCAAGAGCAATGACTAAATGGCATAAATGATTGTACGTGTTAATGGTTCTGATGGTGGTGATGGTGATGATTCTATCGGTAGTGGTGATAATTATATCGGTTACGGTAACTACGTCGGAGAAAGCGACAGTGTCGTGAAGTTAGATCAAATGGAGTGGTGAGTTGAGATGAAGATAGGGACGGAGGAGCTGTGATGATTGAAGATTTGACAGTGGCAGCCAAAAAACTTAATTATGTTGTTTTCTGGGTTTGCTCGTCGGTGAACAGAACTAAAGTAACACATGTTACTTTTATTTTTATCATGTTAACATCGTTATACACGTTAATATAAATATTATCTATATATTTACTATCTTACCATAAATATTTTCTATGATAATATAAACTTTATCATATCAATTATAAACTTATCGCGATACAATATGTTTTAACACGATATATTTATAAACTTATTGATATATATTTTGTTATCGTGCTAAACCAATAGATTATCATTTAACTCATCATATATTCTTACTCAGATATTTGACGGACTATCTATTCAGAATCAAATAAGAAACGTCGATAACTATTTTATTATATTGTTAACTAATTTGTTATATGCGGAGGGACATTTTGGTCCAACTTACAGAAGTTGAGGAGAGAGAACTAATAATATAAAAACTATGAATATATTCTTAATTTTTTGGTCAATTGTATTTTTTAAATTAATATAACCCGTGAGTGAATTTCAAGAGAAAGAATTTGGGAAAAATGTCGTTAAAATCCCCAACTTATTCAAAACGTTGATTTAAATCCTCAACTCATGACGAAACGAAATAAATATCAAATTTATGTTGACTTTCTAAATAAATATTAAACTTATGTTGACTTTCCAAATAAACACCAAACTTTCATTGACTTTTCAAAAATATATCAAACTTCAGTTGACCTGACCACATTAGGTACGACGTTAAGTGGGTTAATAAATCTTCAACTCATGACAAAACGAAATAAATATCAAACTTATGTTGACTTTCCAAATAAATATAAAACTTATGTTGACTTTCCAAATAAATATCAAACTTCCGTTGACCTGGCCATATTAGGTACGACGTTAAGTGGGTTAATAGATCTCGTTAACGGAGGTAATTTTCTGTTAACATATATGTTAATTGATAACGACATTGTTTCATATAACAACAAAACGACGTCGTTTTGTCGTAACGATTGAATTAAATCTCTAAAATCAATCTTAGATCCCCAAATCGAGCAAAATCCCCAACCCTAAATAGAGTATGATTTGAAATTCGGGATTTTATTGAACAGTTACGGTAAAACAACGTCGTTTTATGTTTAGAAGGAATACTTGTTAGTGTTTTGATCAACAAACGAACTCTGTTTTAACAGAGTATAGAACAAAACCAAAATAAAAAATAGAGTATGAAGAAACTTCATCTTTATTGATAAGATAAAATGTATTACACACAATGATGTTATTGAGTTTGACTCGATCTACTTATAAAACACGAAACAACGTGTACGTACATGTATTAATCGAAAAGACATAACTTTACGAATAGACACAACTATACGTACGTACATTCGTGACTCTTACGTAAATAACTAACTTATATGTATACGACTTTAGGTTATATGACTTAGATGAGATTTGATTATAGTTCAACAATACTGTCATTTTTAATTAGTCAATGAAAGTTTGGTGTTTATTTGGAAAGTCAACATAAGTTTAATATTTATTTGGAAAGTCAACATAAGTTTGATATTTATTTCGTTTCGTCGTAAACTGAAGATTTAAATCAACGTTTTGAATAAGTTGGGGATTTTAATGATATTTTTTCCGAAAGAATTTAGTGATATTAATTTGCATAAGACTAATAAGAGAATCAGGCTTTTAATAGTACACGAGGACAAAAGCCCCACACAGCTTACCTGCCCTCGTGGCCAGTGCCCACTTACTCTCCTAATATCTTCTCTCACCGTCTTAATAGTAACATTAAAGATTCGTGTCCTAGGCTGTGAAATATCATATTCATAATCCGGCTGTAAGACATACATAGAAAATTTATTTTTTGTTTTTCATTTTCCTTTTCATTTTTGATATAGCTTTGTTAAAAGCCAATAGTACTCCAAAGAGTTTAAATGTTGTTAATCCTAGTTAATCATGTGATATAGCTGTATGTATATATATGTATATGCCCACTAAATTACTTTTTATATGAATACTTAATTCTCCTTTGTTTTTGGTGTTACACACAAAAAATATTGTTTTTAAAATTTTATAAACAATAAATAAATACGCTGACTTTACGACCAGGTGAATAAATGTGCAGTATTACATTATATTATCATATACTCTTTCCGTTTCGTTTTAGTTGTCGTTTAAAGTTTTTTCACACAAATTAATAAAAACATTAAATTTTCTGTTTTATCCTTTATTAATATATTTTATAAAAAATTTCATTGGTCAAAACATTAAAACAATAGGGATAATACTGGAATTTTTACCAAACATTTGCATTGAAAACCTAAAACGACAACTATTAAGAAACAAAATTTAAGTCCTAAAACGACAATTAAAACGAAACGGAGGGAGTAGTAGATATGGTAATTGATGTATAACATTTCCAATCACACATTTTAAATATAACAAATTAAGTGACAGACATTTTATATTTACAGAATGATAACAATAATTGATCATAAAGAATGGAAAAGAATAGGCACACAAATGGATCTTTCCTTTATTATTCCATATAGTTTGTATAACTTGTATTACAACATATTGATTTTCTCTAACTCCTACGACTTTTTTTTTACTCACTCCATCAAAATCTACGTATTTATATATATTTTTACGATAATAAAAAAATTACAAATAGAAC